AAACAGAACAAAACAAACAAAGATATATTGTATACGCATGTGAAAATTTCAAGAAATAAATATTTATATAAAATATATGTGAGTGTGGAGAGATAGCTCATGTTAAAACTACTGACTGCCTTTCCAGAGGACCAGGGATTTAATCCCAACAGCCACATGGTGGCTCCTGTCTGTAACTCCAGTTCAGTAACCCCTCCAGCAAGGCACACCCCTTAATCCTTCCCACATAGTTCCACCAACTAGAGACTAAGTATTTGAATATATGAGCCTATGGATTCCATTCTTGTTCAAACCACCACAGTGAATGAGCTTTCAAAACTGTAGAACTACAGAGGCCCAGACAGAGCCCTGTTTTCAGAACCTAAGTTCTCCAGCTTTGGGCTTCATCTTACTTCTGGTAAACTTTTGATATTGAAATCTTTATAAACATTTGTGTTCGGGGGCTGGAGAGATGGCTCAGTGGTTAAGAGCACTGACTGCTCTTCCAGAGGTCCTGAGTTCAAATCCCAGCAACCACATGGTGGCTCACAACCATCCATAATGAGATTAGATGCCCTATTCTGGTGTGTCCGAAGACAGCGACAGTGTACTCATAAATAAAATAATAAATAAATATTAAAAAAAAACATTTGTGTTCACTTTATATACATATACATATATATGTATACATATATACATATATATATACATACATATACATACACATGCACATATACACATATACATATATACATACATATATATACACATACACACATACACACATACACACACACACACACACACACACACACACACACACACACATATATATATATATATATATATATTGGAGACAGGGTTTCTCTGTGTAGCCCTGGCTGTTGTGGAAGTCATTCTGTAGACCAGGCTGGCCTTGAACTCAGAGATCTGCCTGTCTCTGCCTCCCAAGTGCTGGATTTAAAGGTACATGCCAGCATTGTCTATCAAAGGTGCTGGAGTTTTAACTGGCTTGGTCTTGTGCTGACCACTGCTGTAGATTCAGACAACTCTCCACTCGAGAGAGGGTAAAAATACTTAAGTTACATTGATTTTTAAACAGTTACTGAGGTGAGCGTCACAGAACATTAAACCAGACACTTGAAAATCTACCCAGCAGGGACAGTTGGTATATTCATAGTGTTGTGCAGCCACCACTTCTTTCTAGTGCCAAGATCTTGCCATCACCCCACAGAAACACCCTGCTCATTAAGCTCCCCACACCTCCTGTTCCTGGCATCTACTAACAAGCTTTCTCTCTCTGGATTTACATATTCTGGATAAGGTATGAAACAAAATGACACAATGTGTAGTCCTTGGTCGCTTGCTTTTAGTTAGTATTTTTTTTTCCAGTTCATTCTCCTTCCTCTACTTCCCAAGGGCAGAGATCACAGCGCAAATTAATGCCCACTCTATATGGAACTTGGGGTAGAATCTAGTGTTTTGTGTATGACAGGTGAACACCCTACCAACTGACTTAGATTCCCTAGCCCTGGATCAAGGTCTGTCTTGGTTAGTGTTAATTGCCAATTTGACACAGCCTAGAGTCACCTGAGAGGAAAGCTCCACTAAGGAATTGCCTAGGTCGACTTGGGCATGTCTGTGGGGGATTGTCTTCATTATTAATTTATGCAGGAGGGCCTAGTCCACTGTAGGCGACACCATCCCTAGTCAGGTGGGCCTGGGTTACATAAAACAGCCAGCTAAGTATGAACCCGGGTGAATGAGTGAGCCGGCAAGCAATCCCTCAGTGGTTTCTGTCTCTAAGTTCCCGCCCTCTTTTCCCTCAGTGATGGACTGTAAGCTAAATAAACCCTTTCTTCTCTAAACTGCTTTCGACAGGAGTCTTTTTTTACCACAGCAACAGAATGAAACTGGAACTGACTAGAATTCAAACAAATAGCTATCACTCCAGACAAGACACTGACAAGAGGTCAAAGACATGATTCTGTTACTGGTGGTCTGTCTGGACCAGGTATTTCCAAGTTTGAGACGTTTTGTTCAAATAGCTGGAGACATATAAACAAATGGTAAAGTAGCAAGGGGTTTTATTCAGAAGCAAAGAGAAAACAGGTCAGATACACTGTAAGAGCACAGCAGGCTACTTGACCTAGAGGGCTCAAGAACCCATGGTCACCTCCTGGAGCTTTCCTTTGTGGGTCTAGAAGGAAGAGCTGGTTGCTAGGGCTCCAGATGTAGGTGGACTCTTGGATTTGATTGATCAGCTTGGATCTGGAAGCCTTTGTTCGCTGCACATGTCTTTACCCATGATGCACCTGATTTTAGTCATGCACTGGTATAATATTACTATTATTTTAAATTAGTCATTAATATTGCTAAATTACAGGAATTTCCCCCTAAACACTTATTCAAAGGACATATTTTGACTTACTTCATATATACCCCAAACCTCTTGACCCATCTCACTTCGTTTCAGGAAAAGTTTTGTGATGCTTTTTGGCCACAAAAGAAAAGTTACCAAGCAGTTGTTAGGAAGGAACGACCTAATGCTTATTTGGAGCCAAGTGTATGTTTGTATGTGGTGGAGGTCTCAGGTTGATACATATATTGTATGGGAAATTGTGTGTATATTAATTACTCTAGCCAAGTGGCGTCCTGTGTTGCTCAACTATCTCTACAACTTTCCTATCTGAATTCCACCCAAGTCTGTCTTGGTAAACCAGTGAATCTTACTGGGAGGATAAGAGATTACTTATAAAAACTGGGCTAATGTAGTCAGCTACGTCATGAAAAAGCTGATCCTAGCATAAGCCACAACTCCTAAAAGCGGCATTGCATTCCTTGAACTGCCTGAAAATTCTGTGGACTGAAGAGTCTCTTACAGCAATAGTGATTGCCTTTCTAACCCCCGGGGGAAGGTCTTGTGAATATCCTGAGCTTGGAAACCTTCAGGAGCCTTGCGGGTTTTGTTTACTTCCTGAGCCTTGTGAGTTTCGTTCACTCCTCCAGTTTTATACTCTCCTTCTCAGCGAGGGGGCAGTGTTTCAAGTCAGGGGAAACACAGCTATTGAGCAGTGTCTCACTGAGGTTTCTCTTCCAGGGCTGTGTCTGTGCTACGGAGATGAGGACGCGAAGGGTGAGTTTCCTCTCACGTGACCTCTGAGAGTTCTCCTGTGCCACGGTCCGTAACCTTCTCCTTCTGTAGCAGCTGTAAAATGTTACAGCTCTGAAGGGAAAAGGTATCCTGGCGGTCAGGAACCAAGGAACACTACAAAGTCACACTGCACAACAAACCTCACACAAGAGATGTATTGGGACAGACACAAGAGTGTGGCTGCCCCTGCTCAGGTGTGGAGTATCAGAAAACTGAGTGGGAGGTAGACTTTATATCAGGTTTCTTGGGTGACAGAATGGTCCAGGGTGGGGATTGGTGAGATTTCAAGTCCCGAATTTGAGGCAAGCGGAGACAAAGCAACTTCAGGGAGAAAGGGTTTGTTTTGTCTTACCGTTTGAAGTTGCAGCCCATCCTGGTGGGGAAGTCATAGCCACAGGAGCTTGAGGCAACAGATCACACTCCATCAATAGTCAAGTATTAGAGAATGGTCAGATGAGATGGTTCACTGAATAAAGGCAGTTGCTGCCAAGACTGACAACCTGGAATCCACACAATAGGAAAGAATCAACTCCCAAAAGTTGTCTTCTGACTTCCATATACACATTGTAGCACACATGCATCTCATACAAATGCGCGTGCACGCACATACACACACACACACACACTAAAATTTTATTTTATTTTATTTTATTTTATTTTATTTTATTTACATGTGAATGTACCATGTGTGCAGTACCAAAAGGAGCCAGAAGAGGGCATTAGATCCCCTGGAGCTGGAGTTACAGGCAATTGTGAACTGTTACTTGGGTGCTGGAACCCAACCTGGTTCTCTTCAAGAGCAGTCAATGCTCTTAACCTTGACCCATATTTCCATCCCTAAAATTAAACAAAAAGAATAAAATAATTTTAAAATATTTTAAATTGTGTTTATGCATATGTGTTTGTGTACATGAATGCAGGTGCCTTTGTAAGCCAGAGGTGTCAGATGCCCTGGAGCTGGAGTTAAAGGTTATTAAGCATGCCTGACATGGGTCCTCTGGAATGTTCTTAGCCATAAAGCCATTCCTCGAGCCTTAAGAAAGGATATTTTAAGAATGAGAGACCAGCCGTGGTGGCACACGCCTTTAATCCCAGCACTTGGGAGGCAGAGGCAGGCAGATTTCTGAGTTCGAGGCCAGCCTGGTCTACAGAGTGAGTTCCAGGACAGCCCGGGCTATACAGAGAAACCCTGTCTCAAAAAACCAAAAAAGAAAAAAAAAAAAAAAAAGAATGAGCGACCAATGAATCCTTACGCTCAGATCACTTTCCCCTTAAAAATATTCTTACATTTATTTATGTACATGGATTTGTGAGATGTGAACATGTCACACCATGTGTATGGAGGTCAGAGGATTTTGAGTCAGTGTTCTCCTCTCACAAATGTGAGTTTGGGGTATCAAACTCAGATTGTCAGGCTTGGCAGTGAACACTTTTATCCACTAAGCTCTCCTTCTAACCCTCTTCATTTTATGCAATTGAAGACCACAGCCTAGGGAATGTTTCCACCCATGGTGGATGGTTCTTTCCATATCAATTTAGTCAACATAGAGTCTCACAGGCAAAATACCTGTCTCCCTGTTAATTATAGATCCCATTAAAGCGCTAATTGAGATTAACCATCACACCTTTAATCCTCAGAATCCTAGAAGGGGTTCACTGAGATGAAGAATCAATCAACTCTGAATTCTTTTCAGAGGAACTTCCCAGGCCTTCCATCAGTGCCTGGCCCAGCTCTGTGGTCAAGTGCAAGAGTAACGTCACTCTCCGATGCGGGACTCATTTCCAGAATGTTACAGTCACTCTGGGAAGGTTGCACAACTCTCAGTATCAGCAACAGAAGAAGTCACTGGGAAAGGAAGCTGAGTTCCACCTCACTAACCTGCAGCCTGAAGATGCTGGGGGCTATTTCTGTACCTACAGAACAGCAGCCTCCCTCAAGTCAGGACAGAGTCAGCACTTAGAGTTGGTGGTCACAGGTGAGCAGACAGCAGCCTCAGACCTGCTCCTTGTATGTTTTAAAATTACAGTTATTTATTTATCATGTGTGTCCATGTGTACATATGCATGCCACAAGCATGTGTGAAGAGGTCAGAGGAAAATTTGTGGCACTTGCTTTTCTCCTTCACTGTGTGGGTCTGGGGATCAAACTCAGGTGGTTATATTTAACAATGAATACCTTCACCCATTGAGCAAACCCTCCAGGTCCTTGAATTTTTAAAAATCTTTTTATGTGTACATATGATGTGTGTGTGTGTGTGTGTGTGTGTGTGACAGAGAGAGAGAGAGAGAGAGAGAGAGAGAGAGAGAGAGAGACTGGGTGCAAGGGTGCCATGGCATATATATGGAGATTAGAGGACAACCTTGGATGTTGGTCCTCACCTCTGGCCTTGTTTGAGGCAGGGTCTCCTTTTTGTATTGTTGCTGTGAACTCCAGGCTAGCTAGCTTGAGAGCTTTTAGGGTCTCCACCTCCCATCTCACTGGGATTACAAAACTCAGGTTCTTTTTTTTTTTTTAATTGTTTTATTATTTACATTTCAAATGTTTCCCTCTTCCCAATAGATACCCAACAGGTACCAAACCCAGGGCTTTGTGCATGATAGTCAGTCAGCAAACTGCACAGCATCCTTAGTCCCAGTGAACATCCGTTTATTTGCCTTACAGTTTGTGTGGGTCAGGAGGGAATGCAGCTTAGTTGAGTTTTCAGCTTTGGGTCACACAAGGCTGCAATCAAGTTTTCATTCAGGGCTGAGTCTTCATGTGGAAGCTGGATTGGTATAGAGTCTTTTCTTTGGTGCTTATTTAGGGGGGTTCTTCAACAATAGCATCCTATCATAGGGGCGACAGTTCAACATTCTGCTGTATTTTTGTACTTGTTTGTAAGAAGCAAGGTCTGAACATCTGCTCTCGAGGGCAGAGGAATGCACAGCTGACTGCCAGAAGGACGTTGAGGCTCATGGGGCTACTTGGAGTCTGTCCATCACAGTTCGGGGCAGAAACACCCAACCACAATGACAATGAGCCTTTGGGAGAGAGAACAGGAAAGGCCACTATCAAAAGGTGTTCTGCAATGGAGGAATGACCTAGAAAGGGGAACAGGGAAAGAGAGGGTAGAATAGAAGACGTTGGAAGATGACCTAGAACTTGGGCTCTTTTCTAGTTTCATTCCTATTGCTGTGATAATCCCTGACACACACACACACACGCACACACACACACAGAGACACACACCCAAAAAAACAGAAACAAAAACAAGCAAACAACAACCACCAAAATCTCCAACGATTTAGGGAAGAGCTTATTTGGCTTTACAACTTTAGATTACAGCCCATCCTTGAAGGAAATCAAGGCAGGAAGTTAAGGCAGCTAGTCACGTCCTCAGTCAAGAACTCACAGTTCCACAGTCAAGAGCAGAGAGAGAACGAATGCCCTCAAGCCTACTGCTCAGCTCTTACGCAATTCAGGACCCAAGCATAGGGAATGGTGCTACCCACTAGGCTGGATCTTCCCATATCAGTGACCATAAGAGTCTACTTCTCACCCCATGCCCACAGGTCAACATGGACTAGAGCAGTGGTTCTCAACCTTCCTAGTGCTGCAACACTTTAAAACAGTTTCGCATGTTGTGCTGACCTCCCAACTATAAAATTATTTTTGTCGCTACTTCATAACCGTGATTTTGCTACTGTTATGAATCATATCGTAAATATTTTTCAAGTTAGATGTTTGCCAAAGCCGGGTGGTGGTGGCGCACGCCTTTAATCCCAGCACTTGGGAGGCAGAGGCAGACAGATCTCTGAGTTCAAGGCAGCCTGGTCTACAGAGTGAGTTCCAGGACAGCCAGGGCTACACAGAGAAACCCTGTCTTGAAAAACAAAAAACAAAAACAAAAAAAGATGTTTGCCAAAGGGTCAGGACCCACAGGTCAAAAATTACATTTCTAGACATTCCTGCAATACTCTCTTCCCAGGTGATTCTAGATTGTGTCAAATTGTCAATTAAAACTAATCATCACAGGTGTTTAAACTGATCATGGATTTTGTCCAACAGAACAGGACTCCACTGGTAGCACTGGAACACGAAAATGAGGTGATTTGTTTATATGTCTTAAGGGTTCAGGATTTTGGAGCATGTTTTTGGAGGAGACACAAGATGATATTAGTTACTGTGTTTTAGAGAGTGGAATGCTTTCTCTTTTACTTAAAATCTATTTAATTGACAAAGATTGCACTCTAGATGCACACTGTGTAATGATTATTACAAACGGAACACATCCCTCGACACCCATGCTGTGCCTCAGACTCCCACAAATTGATCACATTATGAACGAACATTGAACATTTCCCATCGTTCTGTTCTGTACATTGTGGAGAGCGATCTATGATAGTTATGTTTTCTGCTTTGAATGAGTGAGCTTATTAAATAATAAATAAGGAGAAGGACTCGGCAATGAAGAAGAGAGAGAGAGAGACAGAGAGAGACAGGAATTGAATACTCAAAAACATGCTGATGCCTGTCTTTAATCACAACACTCAGAGGCAGGTGAATCTCTGTGAGTTTCAGGCCAGCCAGGGGTACGTAGTGAGACTCTGTTTCAACAACAACAACAACAACAACCAAACTGATAGCAAAACATCCAGTGATAAGCCTGGAAGCAGAGAGCTTGGGCCATAAGTAGGGTGGATTATAACCTCATGGCCCTGCTTCAGCTGGTCAGACCCCTTGTCCAAAAGATCCTGCCACTTCCAAGCCAGTGCCATCAGTGTGGTAACTGGGCTTTCTGGCTCTTGGCTTTTGTTTTGTTTTTATTTTCAGGCAGGGTTTCCCTACACACTTGAGGCTAGCCTGGAACTATACAGCAAGACTGGGCGTGAACTCAAAATCCTCCCACTTCTGACTGGAATGCTGGGATTCTGGGCCTGAGCCGCCACACTAAGCTTGTGTGGAGCCTCTTAACCATTCTGCTAAACTGTATCAGTGTGCTGGGGAAGCGACAGATTCCGTGCTTGGATTTTAATAAATGATAACGTTTATGGCTGGATGTGAGACGCTTCCTTGGAGTTCCCAGGTGTGAGGCTCTGCTCAGCCCCTCCGAGTATTCTGACATGTGCTCTCGGTGAAATCTCATGACATGGCTGCCATTTCTATCTCCCCCATGCAGATGGAGTGGGAGGAGGTGGAGGACATTGCCCCAGACCGTCAGACAGCAAGCGCATCTTCCTGACCGCCTTCAGTTGCCTCAGCATCTGTCTTCTCTTTGTCTCCATCTTCTTTATCTACAGATGCACACGGCAAGGTGAGTTCAGAGGAGTTATCCGTGCTCGGGAGGGAGCGGCAAGAGAAAGATTCAAATACGTGTGGATCTGGTGGTGCACGCCTTGAATCTCAGCACTCCAGAGGCAGAGGTAGGCGGATCTCTGTGAGTTCAAGGCCAGCCTGGTCCACACAATGAGTTCATGATCAGCTAGGGCTACATAGTGACTCTCTCTCTCTCTCTCTCTCTCTCTCTCTCTCTCTCTCTCTCCCTCTCCATATATATATATACTTATATTTATATTTATATACACACACACATATACACACATATATATGTATATATAATCTCACACATGTATATACATATAATTATGTATGTAAATATATGTAAATTCTTCTTCCTGATATGTTTTATAGGTTCATCACATGAAGAACCCCCCAAGAGGTAGATGAATGCGCAGGCCTCAGCAAGCCTCACACCCTCATTTCCTCAGCCCTCCCTCCCTCCAGCCTGTTTCCGCCTCACTTCCCCCAGAGTATTCACCCTCTCCCTCAAGCCTTTATAACCTATAATTCCATGTTCCATTCATAGTCCCTCTTCTGTCTCCCACTCCCCTTCCCTTCATCCCTCTCTCTCAGAACCAACCATTCTAATTTTCTAAGGCAGGAGGAGGAGGAGGAAGATGAGGAGGAAGAAGAGGGGGAGGAAGAAGACGCTATAGGTAAGCGATGAGATACCAGAAAATCATGACATGGTATGATGGCTGCCTGTAACTTAAGTTCCAGAGGATCCAATGATTTCTTCTGGCTTCCACAGACTGCTGCATACATACACTCAAGCACATACACAAAACAAACAAATTTTATTTGGTACATATATACACATACACATAAATACACACACACACACACACACACACACATATACCTTGACTTCAGCTGAAACCTGAACATTTGGAGCCTTTGCAGCCCCACAGGTAGAGGGAGGGGATGTGGCTTTGTCTAATGCCAATATGAGATAAGTAAGCTACCCCTGAGTTTATTATGTGGATACTGTCAGTTAGAGACCACAATTTGATTATTCAAATGCATCACTGTAAGGTTTCTCTAGCATGGGCTTCTTTGTTTCAGTGACACTGAATGATCATGTGTGTAAGCGTGAACATGAAGCCAGCCTTGGTGAGTGACATCTGGAAGCCAACACTCAGGCTGAAGCAGAAGACTGAATTTGAAGTCAACCTGAGCTCATAAGGAGAGCATATCCAACACACACACACACACACACACACACACACACAGAAACACATATAGATACACACAGACCCATAAACAGAGACACACACAGAGACACGGGTACACACACACAGAAACACACACATACACAGAGAGAAACAGAGACACACATGTACATAAATACATACATACACAGACACACAAACTGACATACAGAGACACAGACATACATACACAGATACATACACAGACATATACACAGAGACACAGATCCATACACACAGACACACAGTCAGAAACACACACACATAGACAGAGACACTGATACACCCAGACAGACACACAGACACACAGATGTACACACAGTCGTTACTCTCCAAGTTCTGTCGCTCGGGCTTGCAAGGCATTGTTTTAATATAGGAAGGCATGAAAGTGTGAACATTTGGATCATCTATATAAATCTCCTTAGCTCATGAGCAGATTTTGGATAATTTTCTCTTTGTATCGTATTTGGTGTTTGGGTTTTTTTTCTTTATCTTTGTTGTTTTTTCATTTCTTGAGAAAAAGTGTCACTATGTAGCCCCAGCTGACCTGGAATTCACTGGGTAGACTAGGCTGGTCTTGAACTCTCAGAGATCCACCTATCTCTGCCTGCCAAATACTGTGATTTTAAAAGGCATGTACTATTTTGCTTGGCTGTATTTTTTACTTTTTTATTTCAAAATAATTCAGTCATAATGAAAAAAGTAAATAATAAAAATTGAAATACATAACCTGACATTGTCTAGACAGTGATATTTTACTTTCTCCACCTCTCCCTCCTCCTCCTTCCCGTCCTCCTCCTCTTCCCCCCTTTTTAGTTCTAAATTTTTCTTTTTTGCAGTATTGAGATTTGAACTCAGGGCTTCAGACGTTAGTCAAGAACTCTCCTGCTGAAATATATCCCCCATCCATCTCTACCCTTAATTTATTTTCCCTCTCTCCCAGACACCCATAGGCAAACACTATGTAAGGCAGTTTATACCACTTCCACGTTTGACTGTTCATCTCATTTTTTTTTTTTTTTGTTCAAGACAGGGTCTCAAGCAGCCAAGGCTAGTCTAAAACTAGCCTGAAGATAGCCTTGGATTCCTGATCTTCCTGCCTCCATCTCCCAAGTGCTAGTACTATAGGTCTGGCTTCATTCTTGTGTATTTTTTCCATACTTTTATTAAGTAGGCATGCTTTTATTAACTACTCAATGTATGGTAATATTTATGCTATTAAACACATGCATAAATGCATACAAAGTCACTTTTTTTTAAACCTTTGCAATATTTGGTACATCTGAAACTTTTTAAGGTGCTTTTAAATGTATTATTATTACTCTTATTTCATGTGTGTGGGTGGGTACACAACTGTGGAGGTCAAAGGATAACTTGTGGAAGTTAGGTCTCTCCTTCCACCATGTGAGTCCCGGGGATCGAAACTTAGTAATCAGGCTTGTCTGCAAGCACCTTTACCCACTGAGCCATCTGTTGGCCTCATTTGAAATTGATTTGTCTGACATATTCAGAGGCACATGCTCACAGCTAGCCATCGAACTGATCATGGGGTTCCCAATGGAGGAGTTAGAGTGAAGACTGTTGGAGCTGAAGGGGTTTGTAACCCCATGAGGAGAGCAACAATACCAACCAACTACAGCTCCCAGGGTCTAAACCATCAGCCTGGGAGCACTTAGGGAGGGATCCATGGCTCCACCTGTATATGTAAGGGTGGAGGGCCCTGTCGAGCATAGGTGGGAGAAGAGATCCTTGGTCTTATGAAGGCTGGATGCCCCAGTGGGTGGGAATTTGTGGGTGGGGAGTTGGGAGTGGGGGGGTAGGTAGGGGTACATCTGCAGAGAAGCAGGAGGAGGGGTGAGGGAATAGGGGGTTCCTGGGTGGGGAGGGATGGGGCAAGGGGAAAACATATGAAATGTAAATAAAACATCCAATAAAAAAAGAAATTGATTTGTTGTTTTTGTTGTTGTTTTCAAGACAAAGTTTACTCTGTGTAAGTCTGACTATTGTAGAACTCTCTCTGTAAGCCACACTGACTTCAAACTCCCAGATTCCCCTGCCTCTACCTCCCGAGGGCTGGAATTAAAGTGGTGTGCCACCATGTCTGCCTTGGAATTGCTTTAGTCTAAGCTGTAGATTTGAGTTTGGGTCCGAGTAGGAGTTCTAATGTTTCTGTACGTTAATTTATAGTTTATGTGTACCCTTCTCAACATTATCTTAGTTTAGGCTTTTGGGTAGAAGTGACAAAGGAAAAAAATCCGAGTAAGAAAACCTTAGAGAGAAAGAAGGAAGGAAGGAAGGAAGAAAGGAAGGAAGGAAGGAAGGAAGAAGGGAGGGAAGAAGGAAGGAAGGAAGGTTATGTAAGCAAACTGAAGTAAAAACTGAGCTGAAGAGACATCCTCAGATGCCTGCATCCACATAATGAAAACCATTTCTGCTTCCCTTCCTTTGCCTCTCATCTCCATTTCTATTTTTGTGTTATTATTATTCAGACCAGCTGTTCCTATGAGTCTATGACTGATAATGACAATTCCAGGCTTACAGACTCACAGACTTTTAACCAAGGAGAAAAGGGAGGGGTTGGGGGATCTTATTTCCTGGATCTGGTAGGGGAAAAAAAAGTTATTGACTCCCTTCAGAAGAGGCTAGAAAACTAACTCATTGAAGTGTTGAATAGAATATGAAGTTAAAAAAAAATCAAACATTGAGATTCAGTTGGTAGAGTGCTTGCCTAGCTTACCACAAGCCTTGGATTCCACCTCCAGTACCACGTAAACTGTGTGTAAAGCTATAATCTCAGCACTCGGGAGGTAGGGAAAGGATGATCCGGAAGTTCAGGGTCATCTTTGGTTTCTTAGTGAGTTCAACATGGGACACATGACATTATATTGCAAAAGGAGGGAGGCTAGAGAGAGAGCTCAGCAGTTAAGAACGGACGCTGATCTGACAGAAAACTTGAACACCCAGCACTTACATTGGTTGGATCCAGTTCCAGGTAATATGATGCCCTCTTCCAGTCTCTTTGAACAACTGAACTCATGAGCACACACAGACACACATGCATATACATAACAATAATTCTTAAATAAAGCATAAAAATCAAGCATTTATTCCCTGCTTTTTTTTTAGCTTATCATCAGAGACAAGCAATAGTTATAAGAAAGTAGTTATAAGAATAAGTTATAAAAGTAACAAGAAGTAATCATTATCTGATTACACTAGTGAATTCGTAAGAACAACATGGTCCAAATCCTATTTCTGACTAGAGCAAGCCCACATCATCAAGAATAATAACAGATGTCCTGTCTCAGTGCCTACCTTTCCGAAACATCAGCGTGGGATCTGAGGCTTGTGAAGATCCAGAGCAAAAGTGGAAGGCATGTGAGGTAGCCATCACTGTCTCTTCCACAGTGATGAATGAAAGACCCAGAGTTTTCATAATGAAAACTATATTTCCACAGGGCGGTGGTGGCACACTCCTTTAATCCCAGCACTCCGGAGGCAGAGGCAGACAGATCTCTGAGTTCAAGGCAGCCTGGTCTACAGAGTGAGTTCCAGAAACAGCCAGGGCTACACAGAGAAACCTTGCCTCAAAAAAAAAAAAAAAAGCATTTATATTTCCAAAGTCATAAAGACTCAGACTAAATCCTAGATTTATGAAGTCCTAGACCCTTAGAAGACAGACAGACTTTTTTTTCTGAAAAGGAGCAAGCAATAGCAATTTCAGCTTAATAGCTATAATATTTCAGCAGCCATAACTGATACATATAAAGAAGCATGGGTGGCTATGTTCGAATGAAGGATTATATACCAAGACAAGTAGGGAATCACAGTTTGCCGGCTCTCATTCTAGATGAATGCATTGTGTGAATCTGAAAGAATTTCCAGCATTGGAGAGACAGAATTATGTATTCTAGGATATCAAGACTTTCTTTTTTAAACCTCAGGATGGGATGGCTGCTCAGGACCTTCTCATATCTGACAAACTGGGGCTCATCTGTTGTTGGGAAGAGACTAAGCAAGCTCGGCAGCTTGGTTTCGCTCATGCTCTCCCCTTTACGGCCTGAGTCATGACCACTCTAAATGCACAGATGGAAGCCAAATGAACATGCTGTACTGTGCAGAGACCCATAGTGACTGCTACACACAGTTACCCATAGGTAAGCCTATGTCCTTATAGATAGCCACTAGCATATCAGAACCATAAACCAAAACTTACACAGAGTCACATAAACACAAAAACACAGGACATATATGTACACACACACACACACACACACACACACACACACACACACGCACACCTGTATTCCCCAACTCAAGGGTTCT